CAAACTCTTAAATAAAATTACAAAAAAACCTAAAACACCGACGCGGCTGGGGTGCTGACATAGCCTTTCTTGGTGTGGACACCATGTGTCAAGATTTGAATAATCCATCTTGGTACCTAAATGTGGCACTTATATTGTGGTGTTGATACTTCCGTAACATCGTTAATCTTTTCGAAACTAGTAGCCGGTCCTTTTTTCTTTTTTTTTTCCTTTTAAAAATTTAGTAATTTAAGTAGGTCTCACACGTGAAATTCATCTGTTATTTTTATATTTAATTAATTTGAGACAGTAGTAATTGAAAGGTTATAATGTTAATTAGTTAAAAAAATTTAATTAAAAATTAAAATATGTGTAAAATCTCTATAAACATTTTAAAATCAAGAATATCTCTTCCCATTTGGAATTGGGTCTTTTAATTCAAATTTGGTTAAATTCTTAAATTTATGGATAAGTGGTTTTATTCAGCTCAATTTTAAATACCCAAAAAATAATAATTTGGGTAAAAAAATTAAATTTTACTTTTTAATGTTTTTCTTTTTTCATTTATTGTTAATGTAGGTTGTTGGTATTATTGAGGTGTATAAAAATAAATTAACGTGGTTGAAATCTTTACTTTCTACTTATAATTTATAAATTATAAGTTATGCAATATTTTGTAAGAAAAGTAATAAATTTATGTATTCCTATCACTCATATTAAGAATAAACTAGACCTCTCATCTCATATAAAATTCATCTATTACATCATGTAATGTAATAATAATATTCTAACATCATTAAAATCAAATCATGGAAAGTAAAAGTTTCTATTAACCCATATCATCAAAGAAAATGAAATTTATGAACTTAAAATTACATAATTCTATCCAAATATCTTTAAGCGACAATACAAAACTAAATACATATCTTATCTACAACTAAAACAAAGATCGAAGTCAACAAGGAATACTCATTGTTCACCACCTTTAACTATACTTCTCCCTCACCTACCTTGCCCCAAAATCACAGCCAACTACCACACAACCATCATCATTCACCCCCAACAACACCTCCATGGCCTCTCATGCCCTCTCTCTCCAAAAGAAATAGAAAAGAAAAAAAAAAGAAAAGAGTGAAAAGGAAAGAAAGGAGGTAGCGTCGAGGTACGGAAGCTTGAGATACGAAAAAAATGTGCGAATATATGGAAAGTTGAGAACACTAAAACTGAATTGTTGTTTTATAACTATATTTTTTTGGCAGAAGTATTAAAAAGTAAGATTTTATAATTGGGCATTTAAATTAATAAAATTACAATTTTCTCCCAAACAAATGTTGTTTTATAAGATTTTAGAAAGATATAAAGAGAAAATCAAATAAAGAGAGAAATGAAGGTGTGAACCATACACTACTCCTCTTCATTTTGTTAATTAAGATTTTTATTTTTTTAACTAATTTTTTTTTTGAAAATAGGCAATGAAATTTTGTTTAACTAATTGAGTCGCCCGTGAACATTAGAACAAAAATGTAGACCTCGGCATCCAAACTGAACCATATGTGAAGATAAAAATATTTTTAATAAAAATATTTACATTATCGGTTTAAAAACAGTTTTTAACTCTTTTTAAATTAATAGATAAGAAATTTAAAATTATAAACTCTAATAACAAGTAACTATTAAATATTAATTATTAACTACTAATTTCATCTAAATTATTAAAACAAACTTCTCCATACACTATTGCAAATAGATAAGTAAAACATGATAGCCGATCATTCACGGGTTGTACAAACTATAAATTTTAATAACAATCAACTATCAAGTATAAATTAATAACTATGAACTTCATTTAAATTATTAATATAAATGTTTCCATACACTATTTGCATATAGATGAGTAAAACATGATAGTCATTCAGCCGGTCATATAAATTAAACATTAATAATAATTAATATCAAATATTAATTATTAATCAGATTTTACACATATAAAAATATTATTTTTAAAAAAAATTTTAATTAAGAGTATCACTTTTTTAAAATTTTTAATAAAAAATATTATTTTTTAATTTTATAATTTAAAAATTAATTAACTGTCGATGCTGAGTTAGCAAAGAGATTCCACTTAAATTGCTGACTTGTGAAAAAAAATGAAAAGTGGTGGCTGACTTGATATTAATTTGGACAATACAACAGCGGTGTTGGCAGCATAATATTTGTGTAGACAATTATGTATTAAATTTCACACGGCATGAGCTCCTCAAATTGTCAACACATGGTGTTGACAAACATAGATGGTGTTGACATCCAACCCGTGTTGGGGATTCCCCTTTCTAAGGAGTTTAGGAAAAATTAATTAACATTAGTGCATAAAAATTAGAAAATAAATCTTAAAAAAGATTAAAATGGTGGGAAGAATCCCTCTAAAATAGCTTATGGACAATTAAAATAATAATATTTTTACCCCAATCTAAAAACAAAGAATTCAAAATTATTTTAATTGTTAGTAAATTATTTTAAAGACATTTTTCTCACTACTTCAATCTTTTTTAGAATTTATTTGCTAATTTTTTATGCACTAATTTTAATTAAGTTTTCTTAAACTCTATTGAAACCCCAACATAGGTTGGATGTCAACACCACCTTCGCTGGTGTTGACACCATGCATTAACAAAATACAAGGAAATTGTGTTGTGCCAAATTTAATGCATTGGTATCGACACCTACACTGTGGTGTCAGTACTTCTGCTACATTGTCGTTAGCCCCAACGCAGCAGTCACTTGTCATTTTCTTTCACACTCAGCAATTTTAGAGGACTCACGTACAAAATCTAGGTGCCAACTTAATGTTGAAATTTAATTCATTTTTAAATTATAAAATTAAAATTATAATATTTTTTTAATTTTTTTTAAAATAATAATTTAAAATAATTTTTTTAAAATAATTTCTTTAATTAAAAAAATACAAAAAATAAAACCTTTATATAAGTAAAATCTCAATTATTAACAATCAACTACGTCTAGATTATCACTACAAACGTCTCCATGTCCTATTGCAAATTGATGAGCAAAACCCGAGTGCCGGTCATTCACATGCTTTACAGATTCTGACTTTGAAGCAGAAACCTGAAAAAATTTGTTTGTTATAATAATTTAATAATATATCGAGACATTCTGATTCATGTTGTTCAATAATTTAGAGCGTATCCCGTGTCAATGAATCACATCCATCCCCCTGTCTTCGAATTTTCTAGGAAAATGACAAGACCACTGCCGAAAATAAGTGGAAGGAAGCAGGGGACCAGGGGTTGACGGCCAAGTCTTTGTCTACTAGTCTCTAACGTACCTCGAGTCAATGGCCCACATCCATCTGTGTCTTGAATTTTCTAGGAAAGAGGAAAGTGAACTACCGAAAATACGTGGAAGGAAGCAGGCGTTGACGACCAAGTCTTAGTCTGCTAGTCTCTCCGTTCCAATTAGGCAGAAGGTGCAATTCAGCCTCTCTACTTCTAGTGTTGTGGCATATCAGCCCCTTTACTTAAACGTACTGCAAATCAGCCCCTGTACTTGACAAAATTCACGAGTCGAACCATCCGCTGATGATGACATCATCAAATGTCATCTTTTCATCTACATCTTTGTTACTCCGTCACGGAGAAATGGCTTGATGCTGACATTGGTTGGGTGATGTAGTCAATTTAAACTATAAAATTATTAAAGAGTCTTCTTTTTTTTCCTTTTCTTCTATCCGTCTTCTCTTGTTGTTTTACATTCTCTCTCTTCTTGTTGCAGATCTACTTTTTTTTCCCAAAAGTTCAAGTTAAATTCTTTTTTTTGGACAAGTTTAAATTCAAAAAATTAAGAAAAAAAACAAAGATATAAAAATTAATAAAAAATTTGAAATTAAAATAAAAACTTGTTGCTTTGTCGATATCAAATGATTTGTTTATTAAATCTCCATCTTCAGTAACTTAAAATTTACTTGATTTTATTTTATATAAAAGTACATGTAATATTTAATTTTTTAGAAAAATATCTTAAAAATGGATTCATATTTTTTTTAAGAAAAACACAAATTGGAAAAAAAAAAAAATTATGGATTTATATGTGCCTCTTTACTATAGAAGATTTTTTATTTAGACTAAAAATTTGAGTTATTGGTGATGGAGACTTGATAAACAAATCATTTAGTATTGGCAAAACCATAAGTTTTGGTTTTGATTTTAAATTTTTTCTTAATTTTTATATTTTTAATATTTTGAGGTTTTTTTAATATCTTTTTAAATTTAGACTAT